GATTTCAAGAAATAACAGACTCAAAGATTGCTCGTATTACAGGTATTAAAGGATTTATTGTCGTGCTTTCTGTAGAGGTGATAGCAATCTTATATTCAGGGCACCATCAACAGATTTCATTCATTAGTTCCGGTTTATCCATTATCTTATATGAATGTAAGACTGAACTTTTAATCCACTAAWTGCATTTCATCTCTTGGATATTTCACGTTCTCCATATTCTTTGAAGACAGATCTCAAGTTCTTTATCATTCGCTTACCAATGTCATACTTCCTAAGTGTGATATTCCTTTAGAGGAACATCTCGACATACAACTGTTTGTTCATCCATCTGAACTACCACTCCCAGCATTTGATCCCTTGAAAAACACAAGTCTCGATAACATTGAAAAGCAAATTTCAACTTTCTTATCTTAGGGCTAGATCCAGCCTCCCCAGGGTATAAAGGCACGCACATTGACGTAAGATTGGACGCCACTGACGCCGAGTTCGTCGACGTCATCCATAGCGATTGTCCCAATATAGGYACCCCTGACAAAAGTGGAAAGTTTGACTTTTGGCCTAATGGCGGTGGATCACAACCTGGATGCCCCATCAAAAGTAGGTGTATACGTGCCCTAATTACGATTTCGAACATAACAGTACAGGCTTTTTGTCTATGATTCTAAAAGATATATTTACACATAAAACTTAATTAATGCGTCGGAAACTTCTTCCAAAATGTTCGATTTTTAATTTGTGCATTCTTTGTTTTTTTTTCCACTTTATTTGCTCTTTTTTCAAATRCATTATCTTTTACTGTCTCTAGAAAGAGGAACAATACTCAATAAGTTCTTCGAAATTATCGGATGTGAGCATTACCGAGCTCATCAGTATTTCATCGAGTCCATCAAATCCACCGAGTGCTTATTCCGTTCGTATCCCTGCCAAAACTGGAATGAGTTCAGACGTGGCAAGTGCATGGAATGTGGAGCTAAYGGAAAGAACTGTCCAGAAATGGGATTTAACGCCATTAAGTACAAGAATTTAGAGMATGGAAACTTTTATCTTTATACAAATGATAATCCTCTATATTGCGGTAAGAAACGACAATCACTATTACCACCTATCCATACCATTCGACTGTCACTCATATGTTGAATATGCAACATCTAACTATATCAACTCCCATAGTCACGACGAACCCGCTAAAACATTCAAGTATAGCTATTAGTTCTAAAACATCCAGAAAAGCTTCACCAAACRTATCAGTCCACCTAAAAACCAAAACCCAGCGCAATTTGAATCAACTAGTCATTTAGTTATTTCACCTACTTTTTTACGGTGTTAAATTTATCTTTTTACACAACAGCCACCRATCAACTATTTCGCCAAAACATCAGCACCCATATTTAACCACTCAAACAATATTCTGAAGTCTTCGTGTTATTATTTCCGTTAGTCCCTCGTTATATGTATATGACATTTAYAACTGGCAATTCCTGGTTCGATGGTGGAAGTCATCCGAGAGTTTGTGTATATGGAAGTAAAGCGGACACGGGAAAAATCAAATTGGAAGGGTAACTTATAGGACATTTAGCGAACAAATTTATTTGTTGATAAAATGCCATAAAATCTAAAATCAGGCCCGGCTGAACACAATGCTTTACAAAGAAAATGGGCCAAATTGGCCCAGCTCGTCATTGAAAAGCGTATTTTACTACCTACCGTCAAAACTGAGTATTATAAAAGAAGGAAAGTACCTTATAAAAGTACCTTTTACAGAATTAAAGATCAGTGCCCAATATGTATGTATTGATTATAATTTGWTCTCTTCATTGACATTTTTTCCAGGCATCTCCACAGGGGTACTACAGAACAGTTCTTAGCACCAATCAAGATAGACATTGGTGAACTTAAGAGTGTTGCATTTTATGTTGCCTCAATTGGCGGCTGGAAATTAAAGAAAGTTACTCTTCAATATGTTGACGAGACTCGGAGGTATRATACACATAGAGTGGCATAGTCACCATAATATTGAACATACCTCTGCTCAGCACAGCATTTTAAACTATGTTTGGCCGTCTTTATATTTTTCAGTTACCATGCTTGCTTTAATGCCAATGTGTATTACTTCCGGTGGGAGAAGAGAAATCTTACACGCGTTAACGCCCAGTGCAAGAGAAAACACTCGATAAGAGGTCCTCAAAATCAAGGTCGACATAWTGGATCGGGAGAACATAGAGAAAAGAATGTTAAATTAAAGATAAAGAAAAACACCCTTTAACAGATCAAAATGTGACTTTTGGGAGAAATACTGAGCACCCTTCATGCCAAATTCAACGCAAATACAAATCAAAAATTTGAAATTTGGAAGTCAAATAAAATTCAAGATATTGAGCTGAAACTCGATGTGTTTTACTCTAATTCTAATAAGTGTTGACCAATTCGTACATATTTCCTCTTCGTTTGTGAAAAAAAACCTTGCTTTTATTGTTTAKTTTATACGCGTAATACACAATGAAGAGCAGGGTCGCGTGAAATAAATAATTAATATAAAATATATAAGCCAAGTGGATATAGGTTTCTCACTATATCGATTTCACCATATCCCTCACGCGAACATGAAATAGAATATCGTTGTTTACAAGATGCTACATGCCATCAATAATGCTGCAGTGAGGAATTGAATTCTCCATGGCAACCCAAACCTTTATGCCAATCAAAATTAATTACAAATTGACATTGAGACAGTTGAAATTAGATTCAGCCATGTACCTGTCCTTCGTATTTACTAAAGCCAATCATAAAATAACACTTACATATTGGCGGTAAAAGACTRTCATGATGAGGTAATACGAAGGATSTGCAACACCCTTTTACGATTTTGCTCACAGACTTTCCTGAGTTAAACGARGTTAAAGTTCATTGCAGACGAACAGAAKCTACTGGGATTTTACTTGGTCAGAGACGGGTAATCATTATAACTAACCACTAATAGAATTTAACAGGTAAATCGATTTAGGCAAATAGACTGTACAATAAAACTAGCCAAAAATGAGCTAGAACTCATTTTCATAGTTGCTTTATCGGAAATAGAGCACATCGTTTCACAACAGACAAGATCAATTCCCCAAGCATKTCAATAAATAGAGGAAAAGTTCAAGGTGAATCTTGTCGGTCTGAATAGCATGAGCARCAGGTATAGTAACCTGTACATCTTTCAGCCATTTTTATGGTAATATATTTCGTTAGTACGGACTGTGACGGTTAAGCTGCATCTAACTTTATAAAGGACACTATATACTTTACATAAGGGAGCGAGAATTATAGGCAGTAATTCATTTATTCAACTACATGAACTACAAATTGAAATCCCTACATCCCACCACTACTAGTTCTCACAGAAATTGAAGAAATAGAGAGCCAGCAAAATGAATATTGTGTTGTTTTTTTCAGAAATGCAGTCACTCTGTCTCCGACTTTCAGTGGGCTTGTTTCTACTGCAAAGATTTGGTATGTTGTAACTGTCATTGCTGTTKCTRCTGTCGAACTAAGTTCCCATCTTTCTTCAGGTTTCATGCTACATTTTCGTAAATCCCAACACTTTTCAATTACTGGTAGATTGAAACAGATTCAAGGAGCATTCGATGAGTATTTGCAGGCGTTTTTCCTATGYTCAAGGGCTTCTCAAGTGTCCATGAAAACTATCTTTCATCAATATCAGGGATTTCAAGAGGTAGCAGAAGCCCAATGTCTTCCAATCCGTTATTAACGCCCTTTTCATTGTCAATCGCTTGGCTTCACTTTAGCATTGTCTTTGGAACCATTGCTATTATCACCATATATTGTTATCACCAATATYATTGTCATTAAAAAGTTGATTATTGTATCTTACCCGACATTTCAGTTGCAACTGTTGCRAAAGAAGTRACCTATGGAAAGTACGGCTCGTTCAGCAATGGTCCTCCCTTCGACACTAAAGTCCTTTTAGCATTCAATAGACCTTTACCTGACCCTCCAGAAAAAATGGAAACTCAATATTTCCTTTTCACAAGAAAAGATCGTATTGGCTATAAATGCCTTGATGACAGCGAYGCTAACAAACTGAAGGAATCCAGTTATGATGGCAAGAAAAAGACTTTCCTCATAATTCACGGTTGGACTGGTGAGTAGACATCTGGTAGACAGCGGAATACAAATTAGAACATCATGGAAACGTCTTAATGTCAAATATTAACCATTTCCAGGAAAACCACTAGAATCCCCATGGCTTAAAGACATGAAAGAYGYTTTACTAGAGAAAGAAGATGTAAATGTCATTATAACTGGATGGAAAGAAGGAGCRRRCGACCTTTACTACCCACAAGCCGTCGGCAAYACTCGTTTAGTTGGAGCCATGGTATGCACTGATTTAGTCTTGCAGTGCTGCATCTTTGTGTGACCAAGACGATTTTTGTATGTCATTCCTGAACAGGTCTTTTTTTCACTGATGAAGCTCAAGGAAGAGCATGTTTGCACAGAGAAAATATG